TAACTATTGCAGCGTGAATGTCTGGATGGAGAATCTCCTTCTAAGACAGGTATTTGGTCCAGGTGAAACACATCCGCTCTTCTTCATAATTAGGAAGGTATATGAAGCCTTCCAAAGGTTTTTTTTTTTTTTTTTTTAGGGCCACAAGTTCTATGGGACCTGAAACAACATTGCAAAAATTTGCCCCTCCTTTGAATTATGGATTTGACATAGGTGCCTCCATCACTCCATGACAATTCATACGCCTAGAATAGCTGATCCTTGTTGCCCAGATCAGCCATTTCAAACAGTCTATACTGTAAATGAAAAAGATATCCCCATTAAATTCTGTTGGGGCAACCCCAGAGCCAGTCTGTTTATTTAATTGGATATTAGAGAGTTCTTAACCTTTTGCACTAGTGTCAGGTTGGACCTTGACCTTCTCAGAAACGTCTTTACATTTTTAATGGGCTTTTTATACACTCCTGTATCTTGGTGGCCTTCATAACTGCAGTTTATCTCCAGTTGCTGTCTTTTCCATGGGAATATCTATGCCTCCCAGCCAATACGTATTCCTCTCCTTCCATCATAGACATTTTTTTTTCCATCCAGAACTCAATTTCTTTCTATCTTGATGCCTGGAGGTTTCATTTGTGCAATCGGTCTGAGACAAGGTAAAACAGATTGTGCTTGCTTTGGGCAATTAAATGAACATCCTTTGATACTTTGTGCTTAACCAGGGGTTAGATTCCCTGCAGTGTTAAGATCATTACCTTTGGGGGCTTTTTCCTTTCTTTTGCAATTGTGAGACTTGATTCTTTTTCTGTAGAAATATTTCTGTTGCCGGTTCTTCTTTTTTTCCTTTGTCAGGAGTTGTTTCCCCCTAATTTTTTAATTGTTTCATTAAATCCTAAACTGATCTCTGTTCTTCAGTTTCCCTGTTGCTTTTGGCCTGCAGCCTCTCCCTTGTTCCCATTGAATAAATCAACCTTCTTTGGAAAATAGCTTTTTGGATAGCTGTGATGTTGGTTCATCAAGTTGGAAAACTCTGGATTCTGTAAGGAATTCTCCCTTTGCCCAGATATTTCCTCCCCAAGTCAGCCTACCATTTTCCCTATCCCCTAACACCACTGAAAACATTGTTTAATTTTTGAGGAGTGACGGTATTCATAGTGTTCTGCCGTTTTGCTGGAGCCATTGTTTATTCCTCACCTTCCAAGACTTACTTAAAGAGAGCAGCCTTTTGGTATGGCATTTCTCCAAATGTTTATTGGCGGCTGTCAGGTTTGTTTTTTTTTACAAGCAGATCGAATTACTGTGTACTCTTCCAGTCTGCACTCCCTCCAGAACAACACAGGCACCATTAGATCTTTTCTCTAAGGTATTGTTGGAATTATGCCAAGTGACCAAGTAGCTCTATGGATTGGGATCTCTGCTTCCAAAGAGATGCAGATTTTGAAAGAGCCATACTCTCTTCTAGTTTTTCCCCCCTTGTGATGATTGTACCTTCTTTAGGTAAGAAGCTTGGTCTTCACACACATATGTACAGTATTATGGTGATCACAATAAGGAAGATCCTCTTCTAGCTGTACTTCAGTTGTCTGTGAACTCACACACCCTATCTTCTAACCCATTTGGTCTCCGGTGATTTCCCTGTTCCATCAAATCTTTGTGTTGGTTTTAGCTACGGAAGGGTTTTGGTGGGAGCCACATCTGTCATGTAGTATGGGGGAGGGGGGCTCAGAGCTCCTGCCCCCAAATTCTACAGCCTCTTAAAGGTTCTCAGTTGAAATTGCACACAATGCACTGCTGTGCATTCACAAAGGACCATTCAGAGAACATCAGTGATGGGTAAGTCACCAATACTTATAAACCATATTTTATTTGGATCTAGCGTTACACAAGGCATGAACGTTTAGACGGCTTATATACCATTATGACTACTTTGAAAAATACAGAAGGAATAAGGGAATGCTGTAAGGTTTTTAAAAAAGAGCTCCTCTTGGAACAAGGTAAGATAGCTCACATTAGGCAGCATTTTGGAATCTACACTTCCACATTATTCCATGATGTACTTTTTATGTACAGTATTTTTGTATTTGAATGAAATTAAGTTCGCGGGTAGTAGTTCCCATCTGTGGTCTGCAGAGGGCAGCATAAGGCATTACAGTACCTTACCCAACTTCAGCTGCTGCTTAATGATAAAGCCTTCCAGAGAAGTTCACAGTAACACACCCTGCATTTACTGACTCAGCAGACCAAGAACCCTTGGAGAAAGCATGACTCTGCCTTTTTTTTTTTTAGTGACGCTGCATTTTTGAGAGAAGTGGGACTGGAAGAAATGGCTAGAAACCTCTGCTTTTAGTCACGCCAAACTGCAAGGATATATGCATATGTGGGAGATGGAGTAGGAAAGTGTTGCAAAACATTAGAAACTAGTATATTTGCAAAACAAAAAAGATATGCTTCTATAATTCGATGCAAATGGCTGGGAGTATGAAATAGAACTCTTGCTTCAGTTAACTGGCATTTTAGATGTGTATCTGAAAGCCCTACATAATGTTACTTGATTCTGTTAGACTGTGTAGACAAAGTAGCCCAGTGCATTTGTGGCAGTGAAATTGGCAATATCTGTCCCAATCTATTTTCAGAGGCAGAAGGAATGGGACTCTCTCATTCTTCTGTGATTTATATGGATCCATTTGATGAAAAATAATTAAATGAATGGTTGATACTATTATTTAGTTAATGCACAGTTCCATCATCTAAAATCTATATATCATATTTTCTTTGAAAAATAAAAGACCATAATTAGAAGATATACATTTTGACTTCTAAATGGTTATTTCAGTGATTTTGGATTTAAAACAAAACAGACGCATTCCCAAACTATCGTTTCAAGCTTCGGACAGCCTCTTCAGACAGATATTTTGAGCTCAAAAATTTTTCCCCCAGAGTTTTATTTCTAGGCTACAACAAAATACTCAAAGCATTTTGAGTTTGTTTTCCCTGATGGAACATAGCCAAATCGTAACACTTGAAATGGAGCTGTTCTTTTCTGAGCTCAAAACAAAACACATTTTCTAGCTCCTGTACATTTTCTGGTCAGGTTCCCAAATCATTCTTAATTAAGCTGAAATGCTTTTCAAACTCAAAACATGGTGACACTTGGCACCTTAATTCTGAAGCAACATGAATTGTGTGGGTGGTCTTGTATTGTGATTACTGCCAGTGCCACTTACCTAAACTAAAGAGTTCTCTTCTTCTCCACTCTATCTCCACTCCACTCTCGATACCTCCATTGGTTTTAATGAACTCATTTGAGAGTGACAAAATGGGACATCACTGCAATTCTTTTTCAATCTGCTTAAATACAATTCTTATTTCTGTTGCAACTCTCTTTCCTAGTGTACCTCTCTAGCATGTGCTGATACATGCAGCTACCTTCCTGTATCTCTAGATGACTAAGACCCTGTGATGTCCAGCTTCCATTTCCAGCTGATGTGCCCGAGCAGAGAGTCTCAGTTGCTACTATGATTTTCCTTGTCCTGTGTCATTCAGAACATTCTTTACTTATTTGAGGACATTCTGTTCATTTTCTGTAATGTCAAAATCCATATCTGCATCAGCAGTGTTTCCCAGTTTAGTTCTACTTCCTTTCCAAGGCCAGCAGTAAATAACAACCTCTAGAATAATCTTAGAGGAATTCCAGGAATTAATTTACTCCTTTCCCTTTCCCTTTCCCTTCCTCTACCTTGTATGCTCAAAAGCTCAGGGTGGCTCACAGCAATCAAAACAAGGACATTGCAATTAAGAAGGTTAAAAAAGAAAGAAAGAAAGAAAAGATAGCAAAAATGACAGACCGGCTGGCGAAAAAACAAAGGGCTTCACTTTCTATTGTGAAAAGCCTGGGCAAAATGCCAGGTCTTCAAGACCTTTTAAAACACCACCCGGGTGGTGGTCAATTGGATCTCGGGGAGAACCTTATTCCACAGAACAAACACCGCCACAGAGAAGTGCTTTGGGATTCTGATAGATGGCAATGTTTAATCATAGGAACCCAGAGCATGCCAACCTTGCAAGAATTGGCTGGGTAGATACTATAGGAAACAGGCAGCTCCTCAAGTATTCAGGCCCTATTTCATATGTGGCGTTATAGGTAACCAGTACTTTGAACCACATCTGGAAGCAAACTGGCAACCAACAGAGCTCACAAAGCAGAGGTGTTACATGGGCATACTAAACTGGCACGTTCTGGAACAGTTGAAGCGTCAAAGTGGTCTTCAAGGGCAGCCTCATGTAATGTGCACTGCAGTAGCCAAGCTGTGAGGTGAACAGGACACATTACATGATTATTTGCTCCCTAGTATACAAGGCTTTGTTTTTTTTCCATCAAGCTCAGAGCAAAGGGGGCGGGGGAGACAACTGCTTCTGTTAAACCGATAGTACCGGCAATCCTATGACTAATGGGGACAGCTAATCGTGTCCTGTAGTTGTCCTGTAGTTCTGTCCACTTCTGAGCAGAAACTGCTGCTGCTGCCGCCGATGATGATGATTTTCAGCTACTCTAATCATGGTAGAGATTAGAAAAAGATTTCAAGCCTTAACAGAGGTTGTCCATCTGAGCCTTAAAGTTGCCCAGGAAGACAATTCCTGTTGAAATATCCCAAGTATTGCAAAAGAATGCCTTGCAATGTCACAAAAAGAAAAAAATAGACCCAAGCAAAGGGAAGCTCCTGATTCTATGATGAATGACAAAGGGCAAAACAACCAATAAAGGGGTGTCTCCAGAATTAGAGGCTGGAGCTGGCTGAATAAAATAGGTTTGCCTTGAAGACAAAACAATATTCACTGAACTTTGACCTTTATATTTATTTGGTCTATTTTTTAAAGAAAAACTGATATTGCAGAAGCAGCTATGGATAATTTATACTGTAACCTGCACAATCAACTTAGCTTGTTTTTAACCAAGAAATCTGTTAAAAATTTGTGGCAGAGAGTTATTTGCAGCAAGAAAAGAGCAATAATTTTAACAAGCTAGTATTTTGCTGCAATGGGTTGGCTTTCAAGAATGGCAGGTTTTTAATCAGCAAAGTTCTAATCCCTTCAGCCTACTACTTACTAAATTCGATTCAAAGTAAGTAATGAATTACTACTTTTGCCAAAAAAAAACCACCCTCCCTCAGTAGCTTGATCTGCATTGTCTTAAGCACTGAAGGATTCTCAGAAGCCTCTGAGTCAATTGTTCTTAATGTCACCAGTTGATAAATGTTATCACTCTCTCGTGGTTAACCACTGTTTCTTACGGCCTGTTGTCTTGCCAAAACCACACTGTTAATTCTGGTATTCCTAAACACAGCCTTTCCTTGACTTGCTCTCTTCCTTCAACTCACTCAATTCCTTTGGCAAAGCAGGTGTACAAGACTGATTTTAACATATTTCTGCAGAGCATCAGATCTCTAGCAATCATGTCATTTTTTCCCCCCTGCCAATAACAGAGGGCAGAGAAGGGCAAAAATCTCTTCTTTTATATTGTAGAGTAAGGAATGCATAGTCTAAGTATGCAAGTGTATGTGTTTCACAGCCAGAAGGTCAGATATAGTGAGATTATCCAGGAATATCCTTGAATTCTTTGGTGGCCCTTGTTAGTTGTCTCTTGTTTATTTATTTCATAGTCGAAGCAGCTCTTAACCTCCTCCCTGAATGGATGAACAGAGGCGTTCTGCAATAGGTAAAGGCAACTTTGTATGAGGCTGACTCCAGATTAATGCACCGCACTTTGGATTTTATAGCGTGGGTTTACTGTTTACAGTTCTGCCCATTCTTAATCAGATAGTCTCTTGTCCTAATGCTTTTCCTTTCTCTCTCCTTATCTGTTCTCTCTGTCTGTTTGGCAGAAGTTGTTTGCACTCATATCAGCTACATACACTAACTGGGAATCTAGATTCTGACGCAGTAGCTGGCATTCCAAGAAACTTGCTTTCTTTTCCAGAGTCTGTCTTGTTCTTAGCAGGGGGGTGGGGGGGGGAGAGAGAGAGAGAGAGAAACCGGAACGCAGTACTGAAGGAATGTCAATCCACACAGGCTGCAGCAGTCATAGTCAAGTGTAGGAATTCAAAAGCTAGTTTTGAGATGTTCCTCTTGGTGTCTTGTGAGCTTTCTGATTTAATAAAACAGAACCAAGAGACACAAGGAAATTCATTTGCATTATTAAGTTTACACCAAAAAAACAAAACAAAAGAGCATGAAGTATCTGTGGGGTAGACAGGGATATAAATAAATAATAAATACATTAAAGGTTTGAATTTTTGAGATCATGTAAGAGCTGGTCAGAAATTCCCCAAGGCCTTGGAACATTGCAACTGCCTCCTTCTAGTTTGCATGATTTATGAATAGTAACAACTGATTTTATCTGTTTTGTAAAGTTTATTGAGTGTACGAAAAGTTTGAGTGATCAATTGATTGATTGGTTTTTAAACCCCTTTGGGCTACCGATTTCTAAGCTCAAAGCAGCTTGCAACAATAAAACCCCCCCAATGCACAACCACACAATCATTTTATTTATTATCTTTGTTCATTTGTTTGTTTAGAACAGGGGTGTCAAACTCAAGGCCCAGGGTGCTTAGGTCTGGCCTGCAGGGAAACAGCCCATGGTGCCTCTGCCAGTGAAAACGGAGCTCAGGAGGGCCGTGGGCGGCTCTCCCGAGCTCCATTTTTGCTGGCAGAGGGTTGCAGGAAGCTGTTGGAGCCGAAAACAGAGCTCTGGAGCTTGCTTTCGCTGGCAGAGTGCAGCTTCAACCATAACAACACAAGAGCACACAATAGATACAAACTCAAAGTAAACCGCACCAAACTTGATTGCAGGAAATACGACTTCAGCAATAGAGTGGTCAATGTCTGGAATACTCTACCCGACTCTGTAGTTTCTTCCCCAAACCCCAAAAACTTTAACCTTAGACTGTCTACTATTGACCTCACCCCTTTCCTAAGAGGTCTGTAGGGGGCGTGCATAAGCGCACCAACGTGCCTACCGTCCCTGTCCTATTGTTTCTCTTATTCTTTTATTTTTCTTATATGTACCCATTTCATGTATTCACAACTATGTATACATTTATACTTATTATCTTGTAAACAATTGGCAAATCAAATAAATAAATAAATAAATAAATAAATGTGCCCCCAACACAAGTGACGTCAAGCTGGCCATGCCTCCCCACCCACCCCCAAGGTCAAATACAACCCTGATGCAGCCCTCAATGAAATGGAGTTTGACATCCCTGGTTTAGAAAATTTCTATACCTACCCAACTTAAATACATAACTCTGGGTAGTAAGCAATGTGGGGGAAAAATCCCCTTCACCAAAATTAATAATAATCCATAACAAAAAAAGAAAAAGCAGTAAACAATAGTTTTACAAAAACAAATATATCGGGCTCCCCTAACATCCTAACCCTAACAAATGATGTGGGGGTGAGGGGGGTGAGGAATCTGGTCTTAAGAGCCCTGTAGAAAACTAAGAGGGACAGGTTCTCCAAATCTCAGCCCAGAGGATCTTCCGTAGGGCAGGTGTTGCAAGAGAGAAGGCACCCCTCCTTGGTCCTGCAATTTTGCGCTTTTTCATACAAGAGACCTGGGACACACACTCCTGGTCAGATCTGATGGAATGAACAGAAACCCTCAGAGACAGACAGTCCTGCAAGTAACCTGGCCCTGTGCCACGCAGGTGATAACCAGCAGCATGAATTGCACCCAGAAGCATACATGAATTGCATATGGAAGCCAGCGTGCAAGATAATGTTCCATTCAAATCATTTAGATCTAAAAGCCCTGGAATGCCAAGTAACAGACATACAGCCAACCTGTTGCTGGTCAAAGCCTTCCTTAATGCAATGGTTTTCATAGCTTTCCAAAATCCTAATCCAATGATGACTTGTCTCATCAGAGGGATAAGGTGTTGTAAAAGTATTATATAAATATGCAAGCTGTTATAATAATCAGCTATATTGAGTTGTTACAAAGCTTAGTAGCTATGTAAACTTGTTTAAAACATGCACTGAAAGTGGCTGTGCTATAGAGAGCATGTACCTTAGGGATATGCAAAACATTCTGAAATTGAAACATCTGAGCTCAAGGTGGCTGTTTTGAGTTCAAGACAGGTTATTCCATCTTAACAGAAGTCTAGTTGTTTAAAGCTGGAAGCAGATGTATTTTGGCTCAGAACTCTTCAAGCAAAGGAATTACTGCTACAACAGTTCATTTAGTGACTCTTCAAGGTTGAAAAATGTTGTGACAGTTTTTCACACTTACAACCTTTGTAGCATCCCCATGATCATGTGATCAAAATTCAGATGCTTGGCAACTGGTTCATGCTTATGACTGTTGCTGTGTCCCAGGTCATGGGATCACCTTTTACAAACTTTTGACAATCCAAATCAATGGGGAAGCCAGATTCAGTTAACAATTGTGTTACTAACTTAACAACTGCAGTGATTTACTTAACAACTGTGGCAAGAAAGGTTGTAAAAGGAGGCAAAATTCACTTAACAAAAGTTTCACTTAACAACAGAAATGTGGAGCTCAATTGTGATCGTAAGTCAAGGACTACCTATATTGTTTTAAATTTAGAATTCAAGCTGTTTTGTAAATAGTTGTGTATGCATATCAGTACAGATATATGTGTACCAAGAAAACATTGTTTTATGGAATATATGTGGTTATATACACAACAGGCAACCAATATTTTAGCTCTCCATACTTCTGAGAAGACAACCTCTAATTTCAGTGATAAGCCTTCAAGTTGCAGCAGTGCAGATTGTCTCCAATTTTGGGCAGAAAGTTTACATGCACACACTGTAAGCCTCCAACAAGTTTGCCACATCTAAGGCTAAATCCCTAAACCCTCCTAAAAATGTGAGTGGTGAATCTGAAACTCCTTTAGTTAGTGAAGTTACATCATCACTGTGCCTGCTCTGACTCCTGATTATTGGGAAAAAGTTTAGTCTCATTACAAAATTGTCTCCTGATGCCATACACACCCTTTCCTGTATCTGAATATTTTTTTTTCAATATTGCTTTCTTGGTAATGTCCTCTCAGGGAGCTTCTTAAAGACTTTAAAGACAGAAGTTGGATTAGATGGACTCTCAGTCTTCATAATTTGATTGTTATATGTGGGTACAGCTTTTGTAGTTACCAACTCTGTGAGCCAATGGACAAGTTTGCCAAAATTATTTATCAACAACAGTTTCTTGGGGACTAGTACCGTAGGTGCATGCTTGTAAAATCAGTGATTATCAAGCTCTTTTTCCATATAGTTTTCAATTTTTCCAAGTGTCAGGGTCTTCCTTCTGGATTATATTTCCAAAATACTTAAGCTTTAACTTCATTGTTGGTACCTACTGGGTTGTCTGTTTTTACTTCACATGATATTAAATTATTTGTCCAAGATACTCTGAACTATTTTCTCCAGTACTACAGTTTAACAGGATTGATATTCATTCATCCCTTTGATCCAACTATCATAGCCCGATTTACAACTGGGAAGGGTTTAGCCTGCTCTTTGTCAGTCTTTATTTTATGTTTTAAATTAACTTTTTTGTGGATTTTTCAGGCCAGGAATATAAAAGTCTCTTACTGCATCCACATCTACTTTTGTTGACTTGACACTAGCAGTTGACATTATCTCAGGGATTTTTTTAATGCAGTGTATCAGAGTGACCTTTACCTTCTTATTTCTTCTTCACAAGAGATTTCTTAAATTTTCCTCCCTTCCTACATGAAAGTGGTTTCATTAACTTCATTCTTTAATGTTAGGAGTAGGTGGTCTGGTACACCCTTGTTTTTAATGTCTGCCCACACTTACTTGTGGTCTGTGATGTCAGAGGTCTTTGTATGATTAAGAGAGCAAAAATAAATATCTTCTTTGAGATATTTATCTCAAAAATATTTAGATATTTATCCCATTCTATCTTTTAATCCATTGTAGCTCTGATGGCCTCCATTTAATGTATTCTTGCTCTTTGGGCAGCAATATTTTGAGCATATGAAATAAATGCAATCGTTTAATTGTTTGAGCATTCATTAGTATTGCTCTTTTTTGTATTGAAATATATTTATTTGTTTAGAAAACATATGTGGC